TATATATCTCTCTCTCTCTCTCTCTCCTCTCTCTCCTCTCTCCCTCCTCTCCCCTCTCTCTCTCTCTCTCTCCTCTCTCTCTTCTCTACTCTCTCTAGGTCGAAATTAAGATCACTGATATATTTTACATCACTTCCTACAGCACTGCAGAGGGTACAGGACCTAAACTATAGAGACGGCAACGTGCTAGCTTGACATGTAAACTTGATGGCATGCGTCTGCCTAATGGTACAAGAGCCTACAAATGAGCTGGTGCCATTCTTCACCGAGGATTTACTCGGAATTCTGGTCATTACCAGTGCATCATCAGAAACGATGAACAGCTTTACAAATGCAGCGACAAAATAGTTGACGTCATAAATATAGCGGCAGCTCGCTCTCTCCTGTCTGTGGATGCTTGCGTATTAATTTATCGGGGAAACGTTCGTATGCGATCGTGGCGAGAGGAATAACTTCAATGGTGTATTTCTCAATTGCTCAACTCTGGCCGTTTCTCAGGTTTCTTCAAAGCATAAAAGGGGTGCTTGAGCAACAAGCGTTCGTCATGCCTCCGGGAAAGGACGTGAGACTTACTCGGTAAATCACGATGCCTAAAAAAGCAACTGAGTGAAATGCGTTGCCTTCGGGCAAGTGACGAAATGGATGAGCAGCGATGGCAATACGTTGCTTTGCACTATGTGAACCAATTATAGAGGCTTGCGCAGCGTTGTGCAAAGCCTTTAAGGGCACCTGAACATTGATGACCTGTACGGAACCAGCCAACTACGAAGAATCGCGCATTGACACGTCCCAGAGGAAATGCGCCGCCTCGCGTCAACTGAGGGAAAATGACGTGAGGCCTGCTCAGTGTTCAACTAAGCCTAAAAGGAGCACCTGAGCGACAGTGCGCTGGGCGTGTATTCCCCTGCTGCCATCCAAAACAGCAGCGGGGCGTTTCTCAACTTTGGTTCCGCTCCTGTATCTGCTCATGGCCAGTGTTCAGGTTTTGGTACATTAAGTTGCCATCGTTGGAGAAGCAGTTGCGATGTTATATGCAACCTGCCCTTCTGCAAACGGCAGACATCGCTATTTTGTGTCATGTAACAGTAAAGTTGCGGTGGCGCAAATGGGTTCAAATTTTATAACTCGCTTATCGGTAGCTTCTTGGTAACTCGCTTATCCGCAGTATCCATCACTGTATGACCTTAACGTCATCCTGTCATCCGCGCTTACTCGTCGAACGTCAGTCATCCTGGGATATTTGTGACCGGAAGTCATAAAGGTATCCTTTTTCCGCTGGATTTGGTATGAGTTATGATAGGAAACAAATCAATCGCAGCTAACAGAAGGATTCCATATCATGAGCGAAAACAGAGAGGAACAAAACACTGCTCAACGGGAAGCGTAATGTTACAACAAGCACAGACATGTGGCGGGCATGAGAGAAAGCTGGAATCGCTAAGACATCTGCGCCATTTGGAATAATTGTAATGGCAACACTGGGGTTGCAGTTGGGTGTTTGTTTTGTCATTGGTAGTTTAACGTATTCAATCGATTGAGATTCGATGCGCCTCGAACCAGTGTCATATGATCCCCAACCTAGTAGTCGCTTTCTACTTGCTATTTTCGATGCGTTTTCTGTCGCAACGTTGTAGCTAATCCCCGCCGTTGCCAATGGTGTGAGGAGTTTTCCAGCCTCCATTAGGGCGCTGAATCGTCAACGACGACGCTGTCTGCTCGGTGGTTTTGATAAAAGGAACCATCCCGCGTTTTTTGTAGTTTGCATTTATGGTAACATCAGACGCGTACGATTTGATAAGTTACACCAGTTATTCTCGAATTCTGAAAAGCTGAGAATTTCTGTTTGAAACAGCAGACCCTGCGGGGAATCACATTTTGACTCCCTACAAAGCGTTGATAGCATCATTTGCAGTCTGAAATAATCAAATTTGGTATCCTTATGATGTCTTGGTGCTGCAGTGCCGCCACGCAGTGCTGTTACTAGACATAACTAGTCCTGAGGTTCTCAAGTATATTTTTGAAAAATGCCTTCAAGGTGGGACGCTCCCTTTCATCTTGATCACAATGATGTATATTTTTCAGGGAGGAGAGCGGCGTTGGCGACCCGATGCCTCCCCAGGCTCCAGTCGCTCCCGCTCACCGCACCGATGGGGCGGCAGGGGCAGGGAGAGGGGGCGGGACAGGGCCTGGGCAGGGAGGGGCCTCGCATGGGAGCCGCCGAACATCAGTTGTAGTGTCGTTTGACCACCGCATCCTGATGTGTGGGGACTCCCATGTGAGGATTCAAAAGTTTAATCGTGGGAAGGATTTACGAACTCAGTGGGGGGGGGGGGGGGGATTGTCTGTCGGTATAAAACCATTCGAAGGTTCCGGCAGAGTGAGGGGGGCTGACCCGCGTCGTGGAGGCCAGTGTGAAGTGGCTGTGAAGGAGGAGGTGATGTAGGCTGTGAGAGTGCTTGAGTGTATGTGTATCCGGTTAGGTGTGATAGTGGTATGCGAGTAGCTGACTGGGTGTTCCGGCTGATGTTTTAGATGTTTGTGATTGTTTGATCGAGATGTGTGATGAGTGGTGGGATGTTTGACCCAAAGAAGAAATACAGAATGACGTTTTTTAGATGCGTTTGGTTTTCGTATTTGGAAGTGCCGTTTTCCCGTGGTAAGAGGCGGAGGAAGATTGGTCGAGTTCGACAGGATATATCGGCGTTACAAAGTCTGCAGTGATATAAACCCCGTTCCCTGAAATATCGCGTCGACAGCGAGCCGCATACCTCTAAAGAGGGTAGCCCGGCGTTTTTAAAAAAGCGCCAGCTTGTACGCATGTAACAGCTTAGTTAGCTTAGTGGTGTGCGTGTGTCTCTGTGTCCGGATATATTGGCGAGACGCACAGCGCAACTGATCGCGGTGACATTTGTGCACGCCATGAGTGCAACCTTTGTGACATTCCACGACACTTTTTCACGCCGCTCCGACGTAGATGACGGCCGTAGCGTATGCGATAAGGGAGCATTTTCGCGGGTTTCGTTACGATGAAACCTAACGTGGATGGGGAGAAAGACAGAGCAAGAACTGAGGATTGAAAAAACGTCACTGTCGGCTTCGAGCTGGAACAAGCTGTGTGGCCCCCGCTTTGGCCGCTCGTATGCACTAGACACAAGCTGTAGAGGCATTTAAATGTTACATTCCACCCATCCTTCGAATGTCAATACTTAACACGTTGCAATGCAACCCATGGCAACGACGATTAGTGCATTAATCATGAGTCATAAACATCACGGCCGGGACTACTGCGCGCTTCACTTGCGCGGTACCGACCGGTGCTACTTTAAACCTTATCCGCGGCTCTTCCGGTGGCTTCTTTGGTAACGCTTCACCTTGACTATGTTGTGGACGTAGCGGACTGTGCCG